AAAAAAAAAAAAAAAAGATGTAGCCATATGTATGTTCTAATGGTAGAATTAATTGTATCCAGAGTTAACAGATTTGTGTAAAGCTAGAGTGAAATCCCTAGCAACTATCTTACCTCTATCTTGCCTAGAATTTTTTGTAAATTACTTAAAGGAGAGAAGGCTTTCACAATTTCCATATATCTTAAAAGATGAAAGTGTCACTCAGTGAAACAGGCAAACAATCAAGATTCAAAATAACCACATAGTAAAAACTCCAGTACCACAAGATAAATGGCATTGTATATATGCATGTTTTTTGTGTCTTAACCTAAAATATTTAAATTGACTCGCTCTATTTCCCAAGGTTACCAAAAAGATAATACCATTGTATTTTCCACTATCTTGTTTAATTTTCAAGCTTTCCAAGGCCTTAAAAAGAAGGAAAGCCAAACTGGTAAAAACTGTTTCCCTTAAAACACCACAAGAATAAATAATAACATTGAGATTTTGTTTGAATAGGAAGATGCTCATACAAAGCACAGTATTTCAGAAAATGTCACCATTACAATAAATAGATAGATAGATAGATAGATAGATAGATAGATAGATAGATAAATGAGAAGCACAAGAGTATAACTCACATCCATGGTTTTCTTGAACTGTAAATTCCTTTGCTTATGGGCAGCATCCATGACAGTCTCTGTCTGTGAAAAAAAAAGTATAAGCACTATTAATAAAAACAAATTATTATTAATACCAGCTTTTCTTGAGATCTAAGTGTTCAACATGGATCATCAGTAAGTTCAACATGGACAACGGAGACTGGCTGATCACCTTAGAGCACTGCCTTCAGTAGAGTTCCTGAAATCAAGGAACTTCGAATTCACAGAGGAATTTTAAAATTTTTACTAAAGTATCATTTATATTTTAAAGGGAATCTTTAAGCCAGGCATGGTGATGCCTATGGCCCAAGATAGGTCTTATCTCCGAAGACTAAAGCAGGAGAATCACAAGTTCAAGGCTGGGAATGTAGCTCTAGGATAGAGTGCCCCTGGGTTCAATTTCTAGTACTGAAAAAAAAAAGTCTAAATTCTGCAAGCCTATGTCTACACAGTTAAATTAGGGGCTTATAAGCACTCATTTCTATGGCCTTCAATGACATACCCCTTACCAAAAGGTGTCCAGACAATATGCAGGGAAGAAGTGTTTGTAGGACAGCTGAGAAAAGCTATCTCACCCAGCAAAGGGAAACCCCTCCATCAAGTTTACTTGGAAGTAATTTCTTCATTGTACTGATAATGATAATACTTTTATTAATCAAAAGAATGGTGCTAGCAATAAAGATGTACCTCTTGGACATAACCATAGTAACTCCCATATATCAAGCACTTCTATGTTAAGCAGTTTTCATGCATCACAGCTCTAAGTACTATAATCTCCATTTCCCTGAAGATACTGAACTTGGATAACTTACCCAAAGTAACATAGTCAGCAGGTGACAGAGCTGAAATCTGAACCCAGGAGCCTGACTCCAGAGCCCTTGTTCCTTATCATTACCCTAATCTACCATTATCCTTGTGATAGCACTATAATACCAAAAATGTTAATATATATATATATATATATATATATATATGGAGATGCAACAATTCAAAATGAGCACTGATTTTGATTTTGTACAAAATGAATGAAAAAAATAATACTGAAAATGAAATTCAAATGTGTTTCCCTGTGGATACATAAAAATTAAGTTTCTGTCCATTTACACAAACATGGGTATTGTGATATTTGGATGGATTAGTTGAGATGGCCTCACTTCAAATATGAGCTTTGTGGAGTACATGAAATTCCCTTGGGAGTGCCCCAAGGGGCCCTCAGAGAACCTAGCAGTCGTCTTCCAGGCCAGACAAAAGAGAAGTGTCAGGAGATGGCCATTCACCTGCTCATGTTGAAAGACAGCAGATACACAGAGAGAAGGGCTCCAATATGAGCCCCACCTGGAAAGACACATTGCAGATGGCAGGCAAGGAGCTGTGGTCTACATGTGTGACTACTTCCCTCTACCAGGTAGTGGATCTGGGTTGATTTATTTAATAATTCCTAATTTTTCCACGCTACATGAGCTGATCTGTTGGTGATGTCATTCAATGCCAAGTTCCTTTTAATTCAAATATACACACTGCCACTCTTCCACTTGGAAGCTGCTACTGTTTTATAATTGGTGACCCAAGATAGATCTCTTTATCTCCAAGTTCTACACAGCACCTGTTTCAAGCACCTTTCAGGGGTTACAGCTTCCCCCACCAGCCAAACCTTTCCACTTCCTATTATTCCTCCCTCTGGCTTCAGGAATTCCTGGCATTTAAAAGTTGACAGGATCCTAGAAGGCAGCAATCCAACTCTAACCTGACAAGCAGGATCCGTGGGGACCAAGAGATGATTTATTTTGCTGAGGGCTATTCAGTGAGTTAGTGGCGAGACTTCAGGTTCACCTCTGCCTGCTACACTGTCTTAAGTCTCCTTCTGTCCATATTCATTTATAGGGTGGCCTACTGATGGTGACTCCAATGAATCAAATGTTCTCTTCCAGGTCTTTTTGGAGAAGTGTCTCTTCTAGGACTCAGACTTCCTGTTTAGACTAAATTCAGCAGGAATTTGGGTGTGTTATATGATTGATAACACAAAGGAGTGCAAAAACACCATCATCCTAGGGTGGGAGGAGCCAGAGGGAGGGGGAAAGGAGGAAGATATTTTCAAATGATCCAAATAACCCTGTAGTAAATTACTGAAGTGGCTACTTTGTAAATATCAGTTGTCTGAGTGAGAAGCCATTTCACTCACACCACCTCTGCCCCAGGTTTCTAAAAGAAACCAACCGATAGTTTTCTTCAATAAAGAAAGTGGAAATGGCTTAATTTCCAAGAAGTGGAAGTCCCAAACATGCAAACTTTGACCATCAAAAAACAAGAAGTTAGTAGCTAATGCATGAAATATGATATGTCAAGAGCTTTGTAAGGTTTTGAACAACCAATAAAAAATAAAAAATAAAATAAATAAATAAATAAATAAATAAACAAGAAGTTAGTACTGAAGCATTCCTTCTAAAGTTTAATTTTTTCAATCAAATACCTAAACACAGAAGTGGTGCAAGTCCAGAGTTCATGGATACAAGTAATTACAAGTTTATTAATGAACTCTGGACTCGTCAGAGCTCTGAAGGTATTTTCCTGCTGTAGAGGGAACTCGGATGATAGCAGCTGATTGAGCATATGCTACTCTATTGCCTAACAGAATTCAGAGCGTGTTTTTCAAGCTATAACAATTTGGTCTGTGCAAATTGTTAGGAGGGGAAGTTTCAGAAACCTTGCAAAATCAACAAAACCCTCCCTAAAAGGACCGGGTCTGTCAAAGACACTTGAGAACATGAGGAAATGTCACTTCATCTCCTCAGAGTGGAAATCATGTGTGCATACTCTTGTGGTCTAAGGCTTCTTGCTTCTGAAAAATTGTAATTCCTCTAGAGAGGTGGCAGGGGCAATGTCGGGCACAAGAGTCTGGCCATTCAATGGGTGTGATAAATGTGCTATTTTTGCTCAGGAACAGGCTTGGGACAGATGCACCCCACAAGCCTGACTCATGAAGCTTGAGGGAATGTATGAAAGGGTTTGATATGGTATTCCTTAAATATTCATGGTACTTCCCTTAGAAGTACAGGCTGTGAAGTGGGAAGGGGCAGCAGTATGCTAAGATAAAAGCATTTCACAAAATGACCATAATTGCAACGCAGGCAGGCCCTTAAGATACTGCTGCCTGGTTGGAYGCAGTGGCACAGGCCTGGAACCCCAGCAGCTCCGGAGGCYGAGGCAGGAGGATCGCCAGTTCAAAACAACTCTCAGCAACCTGGCAAGGCACTAAGCAACTCAACAAGACTTTGTCTCTACATAAAATACAAAAAGGGCTGGGGGATGTTGCTCAGTGGTTAGGGACCCGTGAGTTCAATCCCTGGTACCAAAAAAAAAAAAAAAAAAAAAAGATACTAAAGATACTGTTGCTACCCAGACACCAGACACCAGTGCTATCAAGGAAATCAGATCTAGATTCCAATTGCTGAGAAGGAGGTAAGGGTAGAATCAGCCTTAATAGTTTGTTTATTGGATACAAATACTTCAGACAATCTCAGGGGACCATGAAAAACCAGGATACAGAAAGGTTCCAACAGGACCTCCAGAAAAGGTGCAAGAGGTCACCAAAAGACCATGCAGAGATGTCCCAGAGGACCTGGGGGGGAATTAATCTTTGGATGCCAGAGAGGAAAGCCTTTGTCCCATGTGTGAGGCCAGGGCTCCAGTTTTGAAGCCCAAATATAGAAAGAAATTCTAGAAGGGCCATACTTGACTGTAGGGTCAAGTATGAATATACAAGCCTTTCAGAAACAAAATAAAAAGGAGTCAGAAATGTGGTTGGTCTAGTCCAAGTAATACTTTCATATAAGTCTTGGGCTTCTTTTCTATAACTTCCCAAACATTTGCCAGTTTTATTAATTCTTGTTTGCTTCCATCTCCTTCCATGTAGTTAGTATAAATTCTGGCAATGGAAAAGAGCCTATGCAATGTGCTCCAGAGATTAAAAAAACAAAAAACAAACAAACAAACAAAAAAACTTGGATTTCCCAGTGCCCCAGTTTCTCTGTAAAATAAGAGCATTCGACTGCATGATGGACTTCAGAGAGAGCATGAGCTTCCTCCACTACTTCACCCTCCCCTTGATGCTTTCCCCTGAAGTGTGGTCTGGAAGCCCTCTGGCCTGAATTTGTCAGGAGCCCCCCTCCAGCCATAGTTTTAATATGGCAGCAGATCTGAAAGAAGAGGAATGCAAGCTAGACTCCTGAATCCTGCAAGAATTTCTAAAAGGAGGACTGGTCTGGAGTGCAGAAACAGTGCAGAGGCACAGCCACCTAGATGGAGTCCAAGTCCCCCAAGGGGACTCCAGTAAAGAAGTTCTCAGGTTAGAAAGAACACAACTGTGTGGACTAGAGCTAAGCTGAGAAGTTTAATGACAGACAAACCCAGAGGTTTCTGCAGAGCGAGGGCAGCATTTGAACACATGCACAAATCCAACCTTTTTCCGTTGTTGCTTCTGCTTTTCCCTGAAATCTTCCATCTTCCTGGCTTCCTCTCTTAGAGTCTGTGCAAGATGAATGTGACATTGGGCCACATTGTCTACTTCTGCAAAAAGAAATTTTAATAAAACAATCAAGTTCTAGATGCCTCTAAATTCAAATATACAAAATTATGCATGCACACACGTACACACACACACACACACACACACATAAAATACTGGAGCAAGTGGTAGATTCAAGAAAACTTCATTTAGTCACCAACAGGTATAGAGTTCCTTCATGTGCCCAGCACTACCCAGGTCACGAACAGCAAGACTAGAAAGTCTTTAGCTTAGCCTCGTGTCCCCAACAGCCACTAATCTAGTGGGTGCCCAGGGCTGGAGAGAAAGAGTCAGCCAAGTTATAATTCATGAAGCTTGCATCCCAGGAGACATTATTACAGTTTTAAATCTATTCTTCATTCTCTTTGTATAATCTATTGGGTTCTTTCCATCTCTAATCTCTTATGAGCCTGAACATTTATAAGAAAGATTGTACAACAAAATTTTGGCTTCCCATAGTTATATCTGAGTAGAAAGATAACTGGTGACTGTTTTTCCCCTTGTTTTTGAAGGTCTTTACAATGAGCATGGCCTGCCTTTCTAATAGAAAAAAAAATAAGTTTTTATTTCACTAAGAAAACAAAGCATGGCATTAAATCTAGCAAGATTGACAAATCTGATCTTTAAAAAAATGTTTTTTAAACTGGGGTATCAAAATAACCTCAAAGAATGCTGGAAGACACACAAAAAGCAAAAAGTTCTCAATTTATATAACAAGAAATAGCTATATTTAAAAAAACTTTTATGAATAGAAAAGACTTTTGTATTAAAATATAGATAAAGAGCATGAAATTTTAAAAAGAGTGGTTAAATGTGCAATATACATTTGAAAATATATTCCGCCTTAAAACCATTGAAAAAAATGCAAAACCTTAAAGACCCAGAATATGTCATTTTTTTTTTTTTACCTTTCAGTTTTAAAAAAGAATTTAAAGCAAGAAAATTCTGGGTATTGGTGAGGATAGGGGGAAATAGTAGTTTTGGTGGGGAAGAATCAGCACAACCATTGGAGGAAACCTGGCATTTTATAGAGGAAAAAAAATTAAATGTAAAAGAATGAGGCAGAGCTATGGGAACTGAAATGGGAAGCTGTCTGTGATGTATTGTTAAGTAAAAAAGTAAATTATAAAGAAATATGTATAGGATGATTTTGTAAACAAACTTATTTATGTCCAAATGTATTTGTGTGTCTAAAATTTAAAGAAAGAGGGAAGAGTGGGACATAGCAGTAGAGTACTTGTCTACCAGGCACAAGGCCCCAGGCTCAAGCTACAATACCACAAAAGAAAAAGGAAAGAGGAAGGGGGTAAATGCATAGAAAAAGGTTTAGAAAGCTATATATCAAATTATTATCATGATTTAAATGGATGTTTTTATTTTTAAGGGAATTTAAAAACATATGCTCAGGTCTCAGAGATTCTGAACCACTGCCATGGTATTATGATTATTATGTATATAAAGAGATACATATATTATACATACATATTATAATTATATTAAAATATCCAGTGGCATATTCAACACTGTGTATGACTGAGAATTGAAAATTCTACCATATACTATCTTCTTTTTTTATATTTATTTTTTAGTTATAGGTGGACACAATATCTTTATTTTACTTTTATGTGGTGGAATCGAACCCAGWGCCTCACGCATGGTAGGTGAACGCTCGCTTTACCTCTGAGCCACACCCCCAGCCCATATACTATCTTCTTTATAGTTGGTTGTCTCATTTGAATTTTAAATACAAATAGGTAATCTTAACAAGAAGAAAATAAATCTGTTTTGTGAAAAAATAAAAGTAACAGCAAAAAAGTAAATATTGGGCTGGGGATGTGGCTCAAGCGGTAGCGCGCTCGCCTGGCATCATGCGTGTGGCCCGGGTTCGATCCTCAGCACCACATACCAACAAAGATGTTGTGTCTGCCGAAAACTAAAGAATAAATATTAAAATTCTCTCTCTCTCTCTCTCTCTCTCTCTCTCTCTCTCTCTCTCTCTCTTTAAAAAAAAAGTAAATATTTAGGAAAACAGACTATACTGAATTTTCCTGGGCTATGTCATATCCTTAATGTTACAGTGCACATAGAGAACATGAAAAGATGTCAGACATGGTAGCATACACCTATAATCCCAGCAACTTGGGAGGCTGAGGCAGGAGGATCACAAGTTCTGTGCCAGCCTCAGCAACTTACTGAGGCTCTATCTCAAAATTAAATTTAAAAAAAAAAAAAAGGCTTAGGACGTGATTCAATGGTTAAGCTCCCCTGGGTTCAATCCCAGAAGAAGAAGAAGACAAACATGAAAAGAAACTGTCTGTACCTTGAGAAATAGATTCATTGATGAGTTAAAGAGGGAAGAAGACACCTTCTATGGAAAAGTTAAGAGGAATATTTATTTAGCTAACATTTCACTTGTGACATTTGCATTTTGTCCATGGTTCCTTGGCTTATAACTCCCTCCCCAAGGAGGACCATGGAAACTCTAATCTTCCCCCGTCTTTAGCTGGCCATAAAGAAATTCTTCAACTTCCCTTGCCTGATAGTTGGTCACAAGACCATCCTCATTCCAGAAGGGTCTGCCTTATACTCTGGAGGAAGGAATACTACACAGAAGGGACYAAAAGAATCTGAATAAACCAATCTTTTAGGGTCCCCCACTCGTCTACCAACAAGCAAGCCTAGGCAATGAAATTCCCACAAAAATCCAAAAGGATGGGGCCCGTGAGGTTCTGGATGGCTGAGCCCATAGAGGTTCCATGCTCAGAGAGGGCATGAAGCATACTCCCTCTTCAATAGCTTACCCTCTTCATCTCTTCATCTATATCATTTGTAATATCCTTTATTATGAAGCATCAACTGCAAATAAGTGTCTCCCTTCTGTGAGTTGCTTGAGTTGCAACTGGTATCTAAAGTGGAGGAGGGGTTCGGTCCTGGGGACTGAGCCTTCAGTCCGTAGCATCTGACACACTATCTTCAAGTTGATAGTATAGAAACCAAATTGGATTCAAGACACCTGGCTGGTGTCCACTGCAGAAGAGATTTCTTCCTTGTTGAAGGAAGAAATCCTCCCACATCTGGAATCCAGGGTCTTCTGTGTTGGTGGTTGTGGTGTGAGAGCAGAGGAAACAGATGCTGGGTTTGTTCTGACAGAATACCACTCAGATAGCTACAGAAATCCTTCAAGCATATGTCACAAAGACCGGGCCTGTTAAAGTCCTTAACTTGGAGGTCCCAAGCATTCTTCAGGACAGAAGCCTCAGAAGCAGCCTCTGAGCACCAATCCTGGTGAACACTAGAGCTAGACAGGCAGGACCCCTTGAAGAGCAAAGTCCCAGGCCTCACCCCAGGTTTCCCAGATCCTGACTGTCACCCTATTACAGTAATCAGAATTAAATAAAAATCTGCTGCAAAATCTATTTGCAATCAAAGGCCACAATACTGAAACAAGAACTAGGAGATTAGCACACAGAGGGCATCGTGGTTTGCACCTATTTGACCCCAGCAGAGATAAACCCTGACTCGGACATTGGCATTTCCAAAGACTTTCTGTTTCTGAATCAGCCTTGACCACTAAAGTGGAAGCTGAATGTTTGTGCAAAGCAAGAAAATCAGCCCCAAACGTGAGGGAGCTCCTTCCCACTGGGATCTCTTCCTGAGAGGATGTGGGAGAAGGATGGGGAAAAGGCCTTGTCATGTCTAGGACAGAGCAGCCTGACTTTGGGGAGAGATGAAAAAGTAAATAAAAATTAAGGAGACAGCAGGACAAGATGCAAAGAGAAGAGCTCAACCTCAGGCAGTCAGCCTAGAAGACAGGCAATTCCGTTGCAAAGTCTGAATTTAAACTTTTGAAACACACAAGAAGAAACATAAAGTAGGTGGTAGATGTAAATACTGGTGCTAGGAGAGTTCTAGACTCAATAGACACATTAGTGCATTCTCTGAGTAAAGGCTGTAGGGGATGCTAGAGACAGAGATGTGCTTATCTGGGCTGACTGAGGTGGGAAGGGCTAGGAGCACACACTGAGGACCTGTCACACTGAAGAGCTGGATTGAGAAGAGCTAAGAAAGGGGCAGTGGACCAGCCAGAGAAGCAGGAAGAACCAAGGGAGTCAGAAGGGAGGAGGGTTTCGGGATGGGAAGAAAGCTCAACAGTGCTGAAAGCTACYGAAGAGTCAAGAAGACCGTACTTGTCCGCTGGACTTAGTGACACAAAGACTATTAGTGTCCTTGGAGAGGAAAGTTCCAGGAGGATGATACTGTCATGTGCCAGATTAGAGTAGCAGATAAGGAAGCCAAGATAGTGTTTTCTTTGAGGCTTGCTGGAATTAAAGATTTCTAGATTAAAGTGTCTGGGGATCTGGGAGAAGTCTGAACAAGACACTCACAACGTTGTCCCAGCCTTGAAGCCCCACAGAGGAGGCTCTGGGAGGAGAAACCAGAATACACATAAGAATACACAAGGGGTTAAGTCAATAGACAAGCCTAGATGAGGACCTAGGGGCCTATGTCTCTGAGTTAGAATGAAGCAGTATAGACACAATCCTCTAAGGGTGTTATTCCCAGTATGGTCCCTGGCCCAGTGGCCTCAGCATCATCCCTTGGAAATCTGCAAGACTTGTAAAATCCCAGACTCCACTCCAGATTTCAAATCTGATATTCGGGATGGCTCAGGAATCATTGTTAATAATAAGCCCTCCAGGTGATTTCAATGTTCAACTCAAACGTGAAAGGCACATGGTGACATACAGGCTTGGAGGATCCACCAGCTCATCTCAATTCTGAAAGGCTATTTCTCACCTTAGAAGTTGCTTTAATTTTTTTTCACCCAATATTAAATTGCTGTTCAAATTACAACTTGCCTTTATGACACACACTGAGCTTATGAAGGACAGCATACAGAAGTCTTACAAATAACTTACGCTGCTTGAAGACTTCCAGGGCCCGCTTCAGGGTGCTAAAAAAGAAGCACATATATCATTTCAATTCTGTAAACTGTAAAATCTTATTATAATGCCTTTGCATACTTCTCTCTTCCCATGTATCTTACAGCCTACAAATTTATCATTGCCCATGAACTTAAGAAAATAGCAGCAGAAGAACAAAACTCCTTAAGTCCAATTTCCTCAATCCCAAGCATAATCAATTCTTCACTGTCTACCTGGGCAAGTCAAGATTCCAAAACTATGCTTCATTTTCCTCAATGATAATATAGAAGTTGTGGTCTCTTTCTCATAAGAATACCAGTTGTTCTTTAAAGTATGTCAATTAGAAACACAGAAGCAAGGTAATGAGCTGGGGTTGTAGCTTAGTGGTAGAACGCTTGCCTAGCAGGTGTGAGGCACTGGGTTCGATCCTCAGCACCACATATAAATAAATACATAAAATAAAAGTATTTTGTTCATCTACAACTAAAATAAATATTTGAAATTAAAAAGCAAGATAATAAAGGAAGTGTTCAAAGCCTAGCTCCTGATTACCTCCCTTTTCATTCATTCAATCAATCATCGTATACTTATTGACCATAAGCTATGGGCCATTATTGTGTCCGATGTTGGTACTTCAAATACCACAAGACAGATATCATCCCAGACCTCAGAGTCTAATGAAGGAGATATTAAACAAATTGTACTGTATTCATTCTTTCACAGCTGCTTAAAAAATTTAGCAGCAYAAAATAACACATATTTATTATCTCACAGTTTGTGTGGGTTAGCAATTGGGATATGGTTTAGCAGAATTCACAGGCTGCAATCAAGGTTGACCAGGCTGCATTCTCACCCGCAGGCTTGACAGGGGAAGACCCTCCTCATCAGTTCAGAGTCTAAAGTTAACATTTTATTCTTATCCTAAACCATAAAATGCCTAAGAATGCTTTAATTCTAATTATCCTTCCTACTAGGTTATATAGTATTACTATTTAATGTTTTTGTTCCATTTTGCTTTTTTAATTCCACAAATTGAAATTGGCATGAATACCATTTCTTCAAAGACTCATGTTTGCCATATTATTTGCTCATTATTCCTTCTTGAACTTCAGATCTTTCCTGGATTAATTTCCTTCTTCTTGAGGAATACCCTTTAAAAAGTTCCTTTATTGAAGATTTGTTTATAATAGTTAACTTTTTGTTTGTCTGAACAATATTTGTTTCAAAACTTTTGCTTTTCTAAAACTACTTCTGTTATTTCTTGTTTCTTAGAAAATAATTTCTCTGGACATACAAATCCAGGTTGATAATTTTCTTCTAAGTGCTTTGAAGATATCATTCTACAGTCTCTGGCTTCACTGTTGCTATTGAAAAATCAGCTTTCACGCTCAGAAATGTTCATTAGTGGGTAATCATTCCCTGGGGAAAAATTGTGATTTTTTTTTATTATCTGGGCTCTTAGTCATTTGGGCTATTCTTGTGTGCTTGTTAATTTATCATGCTTGGGATTTGTTTTGCTTTCTGAATCTAAGGATATGCGGCTCTCATCAGTTCTAAAAAATTCTCAACCTCTCTTGATTAAAACATTTCTTCTCATTCCTTCTATTACTTCTTCTGTAATTGTGATTAAATGTGCATGAAACCCCCTCCTCTATTCTCCATGTCTCTTAATTTTCCTTCTTTTTTTTTTTTTCCAGGTTGGGATCACCCATTCTAGGCAAGTGCTCTACTACTGAGCTACATTCCTAGCATTTATTTTTAATCTCTGCATTTTTTCCCGTGACAAACTCTGGGTGATTTTCTTTTAAAAAAATATTTTTAATTGACAAATAAAAATTATATGTATTTATCATGTACAACATGTTTCKATATACATGTATACACTGTGGAATGGCTCAATAGAGCTAATTAATACATTACTTCACATAACTTAACCACTTTTTGTAGTGACAACTTAAAATATACTCTTTTTGTGGTTTTCAAAATATAATCGTTAACTACAGTCACAATATTGTATGATAAATCTCTTGAACTTACTTTTCACAACTGAAATTCTACATCTACCAACCCTGACCTCAGCTATTGGAGATTTCTTCATTTTTATCTGATGTTCTTTCAAAATCTCTTGGATACTTCTCAAACTTTGTTTTTCTATGCTTTTATTTTTATTTTTTATTTTATTTATTTTGTGGTGCTGGGGATTGAACCAAATCCTCACAACATGCCAGGCAAGTGCTCTACCACTGAGCCACATTACCAGTCCTTCCTGGTAATTTCTGAAAGTCATCTCATTTACACTTTTAACTAACTCTTTTATTTTCTTTAGACAAATTCCAGTGATAGAGAGGCTGAGAGAGGATGATCACAAGTTCAAGGCCAACCTGGACAACTTAACAAGATTCAAAGTAAAATTATATATATAAATTTGGGGGTGATCTGTTAGTCCAGTACCTAAAATCTAATGCATTTCTATTTCTGYTATTTACTGCTTCCACTGACTCATATTAATGGTAAGATATCATCGTGTGTGTGTGTGTGTGTGTACACACAGAATGAGCTCAGTGTTCACTGTATTTCTTTAAAAATATCTTCCAGGTAAGTAGAGACCTGACCACCCAAGACAACTTTAAACTAAATTTTTAGCTTAAGATTTTTCAGACCACTCTGGTGACATTTGGCAATTTGAAACTTAAAACAAGCCCTGTCTGTTAGGACCCAACCTCTGGACATCTCTATAAGTGTCTATAGCACAGTCAAAGCAGTGTACAGGTAAGTATGTCATCTGATTGGGTTCGAAGAGAAAGGGCCTGACCTATTTCTCCCAAGCCTCTCTCATTATTCTCATGCTGGGGAAATAATTGGGAAATTTCCATGTAAGTAAAACCAGCTACACAATTTGTGAAGGCCAAATGAAATGTGGAACCACTCGTTTATAAACTACCAATATTTTCAGAACCATGCCAGCTGGACATTGAGTGGATTATAAAGCCCTTCAACACCCATGGAACCAGCCCTGTATATGAGGGAGGATGTTCCTTAAACAGACACTGCATCCTGGTCATTTCAGCATTCCTCAGAGTATTCAGTGAATTGAWGAAGAATAAAGAATGTGGTGTAGGAACTTGATATTGGTGGTAAGAACTCTAATAAAAGTGCAAAGGTGCTTATAACTATCACAAACAATAAAATATTTACATATATAATTTCCATTTTTTATATCATTTTATAATTATTTTATTTAAAATATATTATTGTACAAGTAAATGTAAAATGAAGCCCCTCTACTAATTTTGTAGTATAAAATTATATACAGTATAATCCTACCTATGAAAAAGTATGGAATATAGAAATGTAGACTAGCCACCGTAGTCTTCTTTCTACTTCTCTAGTTTTTTTAGAATTTTAAATAAGAAGAAAAAAACATTGAAATTTTTTCCACACAGCACATTGTAACCTACGGACCATCCTGATTTGCTGAAGCCAGGGAGCCCCAAGCATCTTAGCCATCCCAGGAACCAGAGTCACGTGGTACCTACTTGATCTCAGACTGTCCACATGGCTTCTTCCTGGTGAGGCTGAGCAGATCTTTGCCATATTTCTCTTCAATAGCTGCCCTAGGGGTACAGAAGAGAAAGGGTCATGGGTTCCTGCTCAGGGCTCTTTGAACACACACACTACTGCCTTTGAAAGCAAGCTGGTCCCTTTAGCTCAGATATAATGCCATTCTCTGAAATGCAAATCTCCCTCTTTAAAGTGGGGGAGAATTACCAGAACACCAGGGGCTTTCATCTTTAAGATAATTTTCTCCACCAAGAAGTCCCCAGCATGGCTAACATGGAAAAGCTAAGGGGTTGGAGGGGTTGCTTTTTGTTTTAAGATGGGGGTCTCATTGTGTTGTTAAGGCTGGCCTCAAACTCCTGAGTTCAAGTAATCCTCTTGTCTCAGCCTCCCAAGTAGCTGTGATTACAAGCACAGCCACTGTGCTTGAGTGTTTTATTTTTAATGGAGTAAGAAGTACATTCCTCAAATGCTACACTCCTTGGGCCCAGCCCTCCTCTGGTGGTAACCTAAGAGGCATGCACAGAGCACATTCTCCCCTAGAACTTTCAAGAGAGCACSGTCCTGCTCTCACCCTTCCTTGGCTCCCCAGCCCTGACCCTTGCTCTCGGTGTCTGGCCCTGCCTCCCTCAAAGCACCTGGACAGTGCTCATTCCCGCCTCCAGGCTTGCCACCCTCCCACAGGATCCAGAAACTCCTTCCGGCCCAATACCAAGACCTCCTCCTCCATGAAGCCACCCTGTGAATGTATGGATCCTCAACAATCCATGCTTCCCACAGGGCCTTTTAGTATCATGCTACTTAGCATACTTTGGGGACTTATTACCTATTGTTTGCTGTTTCATTCATAGATCTTTTTGTTGTTGTTGTTGTTTTGGTACTGGGATTAAACCAGTGATTCTTAACCACTTAGCCATATCCCGAGCACCCCCACCCCCAACTTTTCTTTTTTTTTTTTTTAATTTAGAAACAGGATCTTGAGGGCTGGGGTTGTGGCTCAGTGGTAAAGTGCTTGCCTTGAATGTGTGAGGCACTGGGTTCGATTCTCAGCACCATATATAAAAAAAATATCAAGGTCCATCAATAACTAAAATGAATAAATAAAAAAAAAGAAACAGATCTTGCTAAGTTGTTGAAGTTGAATTTGAACTTGAGATCCTCCTGCCTCAGTCTTCTGAGCCACTGGGATTACAGGTGTGCACTACTGTGTCTGGCTTCATTCATAAATCTTTTCTCGAAAACTAGCTCCTAAGAACTTCAGGACAGAGATACCATTTACTTCTTGGGTATCATTTTGTAACTTATAGCAGAGAGTCTTCAGAACTGCTAAGCACAATCAAAACCAGCCCATGGTTCCTTGTCTGTGTGGRAACATCCCAGTTCACGGGGACACAGCAGCATACCTTTCTTTTAGAAATTCTTCGAACTCCTTGCAGTTCTTGCGGCCATTGTTTAGGTGCTGGATGATGTTGTCATAGCCAATGGTGCTGAGGATGTCTGTGCTCTGGTGGGAAAGAACATGACAGCATCAGACCAGGAACAGCACAGATGGCAGCCCCAAGGCCTAGAGAGTGGAAGGGGCGGATGGGGTGGRAAGCAAGCAATGGGAGATTCCTGAATTGCTTTATCTCCAAGACATGTGGCCAAAAAGAATGACTAGAAGCTGCAGTAGGGTTTTTCAAATGATGAAATTAAAGGGCCGCAAAACAGGAAGAAAGTGACAAAGGACTAAGAGGCAYGTGGATGAGGAAGGAGGCTGGGCTCAAGTCCTTCTCTGGCCTCCACTCCTGCCCAGAAATGAGGCAAGTGCCTACTCTAGCCTTCGGCTATGCACAGCTTCACACTCAATGGGATATCCTAGACATCAGTCACTCCATCTTAACCTGAAACCGAAATTTAAAAACTGCCAAGAAAAAGAAAACTTAAGATACCCTGTTCCCATCACCACCCCTATCTGCACTCAGGGCCATTTCTAGCTTACTCTTGTTTCTTATTAAAAAGATATAAAAACCCCTGTTCAAATAGAGCTGCTGCTCCACTCTACTGGGCAGCCTGACAGGCCTTCCCTGTCAAGAAACTTTGCTTTCTGAGCATGAGACTCTGTCTYGAGAGATTTCTTTGATGTTCTGTCCTAACAACACTGCTGGTGGAAACCGACTCCTGCTGCAGATCCATTTTAACCAGGAGCTATACAATTTTCAGTTTGTCCTTAAACTTGCCACTGAGCTTGACCCTGACAATTCTTCCCATAGCCAGTTAGCCCTATAGAGAGTCCAAAGTCTCTCTGCAAAAGGCAGGCAGCTCTGAGCCAGGAACCAGGAATCAGGCCTCAGAGTGGGAGAAAGTGGCCATCTGCCCACTGAAAAGTATGAAGGGGAGTCCAGCGGCCAGTGTGCTCCGTGTCATCATGGGCCTCAATCTGGAGAAAAGTGTTACTTATATTTCTTTCTTATATCAGAGATTGAATTTAGGGGCACTCAACCACTGAGCCACATCCCCAGCCCTATGTTGTATTTTATTTAGAGACAGGGTCTCACTGAGTTGCTTAGGACCTTGCATTTGCTGAGGCTGGCTTTGAACTGGTAATCCTCCTATCTCAGTCTCCCAAGCCACTGGGATTACAGGCCTGCACCACTGTGCCTGGCTTGCTTACATTTCTTAAATTATTAGTTTGTTCATATATTATTCTACTGTGTCCTCCAAGAATGGAGGAAGCTGGCTGTCTAAATCCTCCAAACCAGTAACTCCAGGTGGAGTACATTTTAAAAATCAKGCCTATAATCCCAGCAGCTCAAGAGGCTGAGGCAGGAGGATCACGAATTCAAAGCCAGCCTCAGCAACTTAGCTCAGCAACTCAGCAAGACCCTGTCTATAAATAAAATATAAAAAAGGGCTGGGGATGTGGCTCAGTGGCTGAGTGCCCCTGAGTTCAATCCCTGGTTTAAAAAAAAAAAAATCTAGGTTCCCTTAGTTATCCACACGGATAAATCAGGGGCTTGTAAACAGTATCAAAGTGTCCCCTATGAGGTTGGTTCCCTGTTTTCTACCCCATGCATATAACAGATTTTCCGATTTGGACTACAGTCCCCATAGACCAGGTTGTTTAGACCTCCTCTGGGCATGCCCTGGGAGCTCTGGATTCACCCACCCCAGCCCASTCATGGTGGAACAAAGAGGACTTGACTTTACCAGACCCAGTCTATGGAGAAAAGTGCAGCCCTGTGTGTGTTATGGTTTATTTTATTTTTTATTTTTTTAAAGAGTGAGAGAGAGAGAGAATTTTAATATTTATTTTTTAGTATTTGGCAGWCACAACATCTTTGTCTGTATGTGGTGCTGAGGATCGAACCCGGGCCGCACGCATACCAGGYGAGCGCGCTACCGCTTAAGCCACATCCCCAGCCCCATGTGTTATGGTTTAGATGTGATGTCRTCCAAAAGCTCACGTGTGGAACAAAGCAAGAAGGTTCAGAGGAGAAAATGATTGGGTTGTGAGATCCTTAACCCAATCAGTGAATTAATCCCTTGATAGAGATTAACTGAGTGGTAACTGAAGTGGTAACTGAAGTGGTAGGGTGTGGCTGGAGGAGGTGGGGATTGGGGCGTGACTTTGGGGTATATATTTGTATCTGGAGAGTGGAGTCTCTCTGCCTCCTGGTCACCATGATGTGAGCCACTTCCCTCTGCCACACACTCTGCCATGACGTTCTGCCCTGAGGAATGCAGCTGGCCTTCTATAGACTAAACCTCTGAAACCATGAACCCTCAGATAAACTCTCCTCCTCTAAAATTGTTCTGGTTAGATCTTTTAGTCACAGCAGTGAAAAAGCTGACTAAAAGACTGTGGGAGGAGAGATTTCTAAAGCTTTGTCTCCACCTAGTCCTGGACACTAGAGAAACAGAATGTCCTCTCTTCCATTTGCTGCCACTCAGGATGGCCTGACTGAGCAGACAGTGATCCCAGAGAGCCCCAGCAAGACTAAGACCAGAGTCTGATTTCAACATGGCAACTGGAAATTTAAGAGCCCATATCTCACATCACATTGTTAAATGGATTTATATAAGCATCATAAATTTTACAGGTGGGCATATAAATCTAAGTTAGAAATACACGGAATTCTATGCTCTGTAACTATTCTTTAAGCATAGATTTAGATTTCGGGAAGTCCAAAGAAAGATCATGTAAACAGTATGCTACTCAAAGAACATCACAGTGAGCTGAGCATGGTGGCACACCAAAGCCTCATCTTCCACCTGCTATCTCCATGCAGAACCCTCTGTCTTAGCCTGGTAGGCTAAGATCCCTCTATTTACCAGGCTGACAGAGGAGTCTTACACTATCCTTTCCAAATCGAAATCTGGCCTCTCAAATCCTAGTTTTCTTGAAGTCTTCTCTCAGTAGCCACAACTCCTTCCTCTGGGTTCTTAGGGTACCCAGCATCTGAATTTGATGTTAAGTGCCACCCCTGTGAGTAACCTTTCTGTCCCAACTCTATTGCAAGTCCCTAGGGCTTTGTTCAAGTCTTGAACCACACCAGCACCCCTCCCCCTGGAAATCTATCTTAATTCTCTGCTCACCAAAGGCCCACAGTGAACATCTGTAGAATAAAATGCCTACTTTTCTCCTAGCCAGATATATCAGAAGGGAATAATGAACATAAAGACTCCTGAGTGGAATGAAGGAGTGGGGACAAAGGGTCAATTTCAAAGTTGGTTTGTAGACAGAATTCTTTGTTCGTCTGCCTTCTCTGTCTCACAATGTGCATTTGGAAAGGTGGTTTTCCTCTTCTTAACTAAGGGTGCAGATACTCTGAGAAGGACAGGAAGAGTAGAACGAGACCTGTTTCCTGAAAACACAAAACACCAGACCTCCCAGCTGCCAACCGTAAAAATAACAGAACGATCACTTCTAGAGAATGACTGGGTTACAAGGCAACCAGGAAAGGAAACCCCTAGAAAAAGACAAAAAAATATTCAAGGCTGAGTTCAAAGGGGTGGAGGATTTGGTCTGGAAACTTCTGACTATGCTACTCAAAGAACATCACAGTGAGCTGGGCATGGTGGGTGGCGCATGCCTGTAATCCCAGCGGCTCTGGAGACTGCAGCAGGAGGATTGCAAGTTCAAAGCCAGCCTCAGGAAACATGGGGTGCTAAGCAACTCAGTGAGATCCTGTCTCTAAATAAAATCCAGAATAGGGCTGGGGATGTGGCTCAGTGGACAAGTACCCCTGAGTTCAATCCTTGGTACCAAAAAAAAAAGAGAGAGAGAGAGAGCATCACAGTGAGCCAACTGGCAGAAATCAGTCTAAGAGAGCCAAGCAAGAAAGGAATGCACATGCAGTCCAAGATGCACCAAGAAAGCATCACAGATCTACCATCAGAAATAGTGTGTCAGGGCTAGGAATGTAGCTCAGTGGTAGAGCACTTGCCTAGTAWGCGTGAAACACTGGGTTGAATCCTCAGCACCACATATAAAATAAAAGTATTGTTTCAACCTACAACTAAAAAATAAATGTTTTTAAAAAAATAGTAGACCAGACAGATTCACTATTGAATTCTATCAAATATTTAAGGAAGGAAATAACACCAGTCTTACCCAAACTCTTTCAGAAAAAGAGGAAAGACTTCTCAATTTATGAGTCTAGCATAACCCTGTTACCAAAAAAAAAAAAAAAAAAAGACAAAGGCATTACAAGAAAAGAGTATTCCCAGAAAATCTTTCTCACAAGAACAGATGTAAAAATCTCTACTGAATTATTATATCATCTCCAGGAATAAATGAATGTATAACACACCATGACCCAAGTTATTTATCTCAATAATGCAAGATTAATTTAATATTTGAAAATAATCAATTACATTATTCACCACATTAACAGAAAAAAAGGATATGGCTCAGTGGTTGAGTACCCCTGAGTCCAATCCCCAATAACAAAAAAAAAAAAATTTATATATATTCCTTTTCACCAAAAAGCTCATAAAAAATTCCTCAACATTATAGTGAAATCCAATTTAATGCCCACAAGAACAGAGTCAACATTGAATATAATCAAGAATGATGAACAACCAAATTGTTTCCTGCACTGCTTATAGGAGTATAAAATGGTACAATCGTTTTGAAAAAAAAAGTTTGGGGCAATGTCTCAAAAAGCTAACGTGCACATACCCTATAACCCAAAGTTCCACTCCTAAGCATTCACCCGTGAAATGAAAACATGCATCAAGAAATAGAAAGAATATTCATAAGGACGGTATTCACAGTAGTCAAAAACTGGAAACAACCCAAATAGGTCTAACTGATGAATGGATAGATAGCCATTTCTCCATGAGCAAAAGATGCTAGACACAAACAGAATTTACTGCACAGTTCCATTTATATGAAATTCTAGGACAGGCAAGATGAATCTGTGTAAAAAGAAATAAGAACAATGATAGTTCAAAGCCAATATGGCTACCAATGCTGCTACCAAGGATCCAGGTGTTTGGTCCTGTGCTGCACCTAAA